GGCTCAAACAGCTAAGTGCTCAGGTATTAACCAAAAGATTGGTGGTTGAAATCCACCCAAAGGCACCTTAGAAGAAAGGCCTGGAAATCTATTTCCGAAAGAGCACACCACCGGAAATCCTGTGGAGCCTAATTCTACTCTTGTAAACACAGGTCATTCAGTGGAGTCGTCTTAACAGCAACTGGTTTGTTTGTTTAAAAACTCCACTTTGCAGTCTCTCCCTTTGCTGTTATGAGAACTTCACAGATGCCTTCATCTCTTTCTCTTTAGTTATTTGCCAGTCTACTTTCTACAGATGACCAGTGTTACCTTGCCCAAATCATCATAAATAATCATATGCAAATTTGCCTTTATTTCATTTGGTGGTTTCTACTTAATCCTTTTCCTTCCTTTTTCTTCCTTCACTCTTTCGCTCATTTATGAGATATTTATTGAGCCAAGATTAAAACATGACACCTGTCTATCAGATTCCATATGACATTTAAGAAGGTTTGTCATCTGTGGAGGCTTTATGGAGCCAGTAGTTAGCCCTCACAAATCAAAAGGTTATTGTTGTTAGGTGGCATCGAGTCAGTTCCGATCCATAGAGACCCTGTATAGGGTTTCTGAGGAGCAGCTGGTGAGCTTGAACCACCGGCCTTGCTGTTCATACGGCTTTGCAGTCTGGTGCATTAACCCACAGCGCCACACCAGGACTCCTGGGAGTTGGCTTTAGAGCCTAAATGGATGCAGGAGAGCTTGAGATCCAACAAGGCTAGGACCTGAAACACTTTCCTGCGTTAAATTAAGCCAGCGAGCCAGCCCAGGGAAGAAATAAAGAAGCACAAGCCTTCACTACATCAAGAGTGGAGCCCAAACTTAAAAGTGCACCGATTTGTAGAAATTTAAGCTGAAAAATTACATAAACCGAAATTACGTAAAATGAAATGCATACACTTGGCAGTGCTGGATGTTAAAACTCTTTTTGAGGACCCCTTTCATAAGCCAGTACCCATGGGATTCAATCAGAAAGCAATATATTTGCCCGCCACAAAAAAATATTAGACAGGCTAATATGTTGTTGTTGTTGTTAAGTGCCTTCGAGTTGGTTCTGACCCATAGCGACCCTGTACAGGGTTTCCGAGGGTGTAAATCTTTACAGGAGTAGAAAGCCTCATCTTTCTCCCGCGGAGCGGCTGGTAGTTTCGAACCGCTGACCTTAAGGTTCGCAGCCCGATTCGTAACCACTACACTACCAGAGCTCCTACCCCAAAAATGAGTGAAAGAATCTAAGCAAAACTATATAAAGTAAACATGGTAAAATATGTAGAGATATGTTGTTGTTGTTGTTGTTGTGAAGTGTCGTTGAGTTGGTTCCAACCCATAGCGACCCTGTATAGGGTTTCTGAGGAGCAGCTGGTGAGCTTGAAATGTCGACCTTGCAGTTCAAACGGCTTTGCAGTCTGACACATTAACCCACAGCACCACACCAGAACTAGAACGGGTAAAATAACTGTAAAATCAAAAGTATTTTATGGAAAGCAAAAGAAATATTTTTAAACTGTATAGATCATTTTAGTTAGGGAGAAAAAAGCTGCCATTACAATTAGAATGTTGTGGACATTAAGCTGTGTATTGTTGTTGTTGTTATGTGCCATGGAGTCAGTTCCGACTCACAGTGACCCTGTATAGGGTTTCTGAGGCTGTAAATCTTTACGGGAGCAGAAAGCCTCATCTTTCTCCCACAGAACAGCTGGTAGTTTCAAACTGCCGACCTTGAGGTTCTCAGCCCAATTCGTAACCACTACTCTACCAGAGCTCCTTTAGTCACAGACAAAGAGAAAATCACTTAATTGGATAACAGACCCGAGGAAGTCACCTAAAATATAGCACCGAGAAAGAAAAAGACAGACTTTTTTAAAGGGAAGTAAATACAGAAGATAATAAGGAAAAGGTTCAACGCATTGCTAATAGTAATTCATAAAGGAGAAATAGCAAGAATAGTGTAGGAGTGATACCTGAAGAGACAGTGACTAAGAACATTTTCAAACTGAAGAAATACCTGAATCTCCAAATTAAAAATAACATTGAGTCTTGAGCAGGAGAAACAACAATCAATTTGATGTAAAATCTACTAAGACATTGAGCCCAGAATGAAACACAAGAACTAATTCTGAGTAAAGAAATTAGTAAAGAAAACAAAAATCCTCAGAAATGAGACTTGCGCAGTTAAAGTGAATAATTTTAGGATTACCTGTTTTAGCATAGGTACATCCAAAAACTATACATTGAATAAATATTAAGTCACAGAAGACTGTGCATATCTCATTTTAAATTTATATACAAAATAAAGTAGTACTATGTGGCCTTTTTATAGATATACACATGTGTAGTTAAAATGCAAACATCTGAGAGAACATGATTATCACATACACTGAACGGTTATCTCTTTCAGTGAGGGAGATGTATGAGATGAGAGAGGGAGACAGACAGGGCCTTAGCTGTATCACAGTGAATTAAACACACGCACACATACCGTAGTGGTTACGAATCGGGCTGCGAACCTTAAGGTCAGCGGTTCGAAACTACCAGGCGTTCCGCGGGAGAAAGATGAGGCTTTCTACTCCCGTAAAGATTTACACCCTCGGAAACCCTGTAAAGGGTCGCTATGAGTCGGAACCGACTCGATGGCACATAACAACAACAACAACAACAACACATACACTACATCTTGTAGTGATTGTTTTCATTCAGTTGGTTCCAACTCATAGCTACCTTTTGTCCTACAGAGTAAAGCATTGTCAAAGTTCTGCTCCATCCTCACAATCTTGATTGTGTGTGAGCCCATTCTTGCCATGGTCAGTCCATCTCAGTGAGGGTCTTCCTCTTATTCTCTGAGTCTGTATTTACCAAGCATGATGTCTTTCTCCAGGAACTGGTCTCTTCTGATAACATGTCCAGAGTACTAAGGGGCATTCTGACTATATTTCTTCCAAGGCAGATTTGTTTGCTTTTCTGGTAATCCATGGTATATTTAATACTCTTCACCAACATAATAATTCAAAGGAATCAATTCATCTTCAGTCTGTCTTATCCATTGTCTAACCTCCTCATGCATATGAGGCTGTTAAAAAATCCATGAATGGGATGTGGTCTTGTTCTTTAGTATTCAAAGTGACATCTTTGCTTTCTAACACTTGATAGAGGTCTTTTGCAGTGCAGTATGTCATATGATTTCTTGACTATGGCTTCCATGGGCATTGATTGTAGATCCAAGTAAAATAAAATTTTAGACAGTTTAATTATTTTCTGTGTTATTGTGATGTGGCTATGTGTGTGTGTGTGTGTGTGTGTATGAAGCAAATATGGCAAAATGTTAGCATTTGTTAGTATTATGGTAAACCCTTGTTGTTTTTGTTGTTGCAGTCGATGTGGTTCCAATCATGGCTGTGTCATGTAGAGCAGAGCAAAGCTTTGACCCTGTGTCATCTTCATGATTGTTGGTTTGCTTGAGTCCATAGCTGTGGGCATGTGTCTATCAATCTTATTGACAGTTTCTCTCATTTTGCTGACCCAAACATGATATCTTTTTCTAGAAGTTGGTCTTTCTTAATAAAGTGCCCAAACTACGTGAGCCAACATCTCACCATCTTTGCATGCAGGGGCATGTTGCTGCTGTTAGTTGGTTCTAAATCTTAGCAACCATGATTAGGGTTTCCACAGAGCAGCTTGTGAATTTGAACTGCCGACCTTGTGGTCCAAACTGACCTTGTAGCTCAGTGCTTTATCCTATAATGCCACACCAGGACTCCATGTAGGAGCGTAAGCTAGGCACCTGCTATTCTGTGCTTGAGTGTTGGTTTATGTGTTCAGAATTTTTCCTCAGTTAAAAATAGCTTCCAACTTATGTGAGAGGAAAGACATCCAATAATAATGCATAGCAAAAAGTGCCTTGTGTCATCATGATTTCCTTATAGTTAGCATTCAGAGTTGAGCTATGAGAGATGTCTGCCCTTTGAGGGAGGTGTGAGAAACACATCATGAAGAGTATCTCAAATGCAAGCATGCATTTGCAACATCATTTTCCCACAGGATGCACACCTGCTTTTTCAGCACCATCATATGAGGTTTATTGACTGATTGCCTATTTCAAGCCCTTTCCCGTTTTCATAATAGTCCTCCTTCCACTTTTTATGGCGGGGCATCATTAAGCAATGGTTACCCAAAGTAACTAGCCAGAAGAATCCATTATTTTGAAAGAAAATATCTAATAACCAAAGTTATGTCTTCCTTACTTCTCAAAGAGAAAATAGTGATGTGTTATTAATAATGTCCATTTTTGTGAGCATATTTCTCCGAACTCCCACATGCCTTTCCCCCTATATCAGAGAGATTCGGTTTCACAGTCTTACCTTTTTGTGTTATTGTTTGTTTTCATTTTGATTGTTTACTTTCCTCTTTTGAACATGCTGTTTGAATTCGATAACAAACCCTCCTGTGACCTCCCTTGGGAAGGAGCTAGAGAGTACTACAAGGAAATTAGATTAGTCTGGAAACCAGCCTCCTCCATTTTTTGAGTCATTGCTGTCCTATGCTAATAACATCTAGCCCAACTCTTTGCAAATAGTAAATAATATTTCTGGCTCAAAAGGAACAAGAGTATGTGGGCTTCACCCACAGCATGGCAGTTTCTGTGTTCCTTAGATGATATTACTTGAACACAAACCCCAATCAGTCAGTATTACTCTTGACATAAAGAAGAAAATGGAATGGTTTTGAAAAAGGTTGACTTCAGTGCTTCTGACACATTCTTATAGGGCAGTTATAAATGGCATGACAGTGTTGGTCTAAAAGCAATTTACCAATCACTATGAAAGGTATCTAACTTGCCTTTTAAAAATAGATCTTCCCTGTTGAAGCCAAAAGGAAAGCTGACTCCAATCTCTTATTAAGGCCTGGGCCACCAGCATGGGTTTTATAACGAACTTACATTCTCAGATGTTTCTTCTTTTCCTTTGCAGAGAGAAGATGCATCAGTCGGCCATGTATGAGTTATGCCAGGGGATGCACCAAATCAGCCTTCAGTTTGTTCGACTGCAGCTTACCTTTGAAGAATACACCATAATGAAAGTTTTGCTGCTACTAAGCACAAGTAAATTGATGTCTACCCCCTGATATTATTTCTATATGGTCAGATCACCTTGCCTTGGGAGAGTAGTAACCTATCATTAGTATCAGATTATTTTTCTTATTGTTTTTAAGTACTGTTGAGTCAGTTCCAAGGAGTGGCTGATGGGTTTGAACCACTGACCTTACAGTTGGCAGTTCAGTGGTATCCTACAGCACCATACCATCACTCCAAATGGCTGACACCAATAACCTTTATTTTTAAGTTCACAAGGTAAGAGGAGGGCTTTGTCCCTCAATGAATTTAGTGACTTGCAGTGTATGAAGCTTTGGACAAATGAAAGAGCATATCCCTTCCTTCATTCTTCTACTAAATATTAAGTGTCTCTTACATGCATGATAGGATTGGGCATTTCAGGAAGTGCAAGGGTGCAGAGGCATAGTCCTACCTACATATAAGACAAGTTAAAAGATAACTTAGTGCACTGTGGAAAGCATTCATCTGTCAGGACAGAGGTAAGCGTGTCATGGTGGCTCACAGAAGGGAAAGAGCTCATTCAGTTCAGGGGCCAGGGAGGGATAGCTAGTGAAGCTGGACCTTGGAGGGTTTTAGCCAGCTTGTGGATTGAATATTAGGAGACAGATGGCATTCCTGACAAGGAAAAGCAAATGTGGAAATAAGTGAAAGTATAGACAGGAAATAACACTTAACTTCTGGGGGCAGTTTTGTTGTGAACTTTTAAATTTTTATATGATTCATCTATTTATTAACATTTTCAGGACAAGTGAAAGGTCATATAGAACAGAACCAAGTATGTATGCTGGATTATGTTAGTTTGGGGAGTGGTGTGAATTAAGGTTCTGATGTAGACTGTACCAAACATAAGGAACCAGAATGCCAATGGGCAAAATCCGAACTTTATTAGTAGAAAGAGGAGTGCAGTGCTGAAGACTTTTGAGCAGTGAGATGACATTTTCAGCTCCGTATTCTATGGCTTTATGATGACATTGCATCAGGCAATGGAATGGATTAAAGAAGAGGAGAGAGGAGTAAAGGGAGGGAGAGAGGCAAAGACAGACAAGAAGAATTGTAGGCTGTTAGGAAGCTCAGAGACGTGCTCTAAGGCTGTTGAAATAATGGCCTGGATTATGATATGATAATATGACAGACAGGAGCAAATGGATACAAGAAGCACTGCAGAGTTAGCCTTAGCAAATGACTGGAAGTGAAATAAAAATGCTGTGGGCTCGGAACTTACACCAGTTTTGAACACAGTGAAATGATGAAGGTAATATGCCATTAATAAAAATATGTCAGTGTTGGGAATTGGAGCCAGTTTTGTAGATTACATAATGAGTTCTGTTTTGGCTGAGTTAATTTTCAGATGTCAGCTCTATATCAAAACAGAGATTACCAAAAGATGGGGAAAGATTTGAGACTGGAACTCAGAAGAGAGACCTAAGTATTGAGCTATAAATTGGAAATTATCCTTAGAGAAAATTATAGTTGGAACTCAAATAGTAACTGGGGTTGTCATGGCTCAGATGATGAGGGAAGAGCCAGTTGGTCTGTTTTAAATGAGAATGGCAGAGGCGGAAGAGAGAGAGAGACAGAACTGTCAGCGAGAAAAAGAAATGGGAGAGTGTATACTATATTGGAAGCCAAGATTTGAAGGCTTCCAAAAGAGGTAGACTAGCAGTACAGCTTCCCCAGTGTACGTTGAGAGCACTGAGAGAAGCCTGCTGGAGTGGCCATTAGGCTTGGGGCGGGTGCCAGATGGCCAGGGACTTGCAGATTGATGGGGAAGCTTTTTTAGCTTCAGCTTCTAGAACCAAGTATGGGAGGAGAGAGAAGAGAGTTGACGGCATGAGGTGCCAGAGGAGACAAGATAGGATTAGCCTTGGCAAAAATGTTGGGCACTTCTTTCTCAGACAAGAGCACAGGAATTTTCAAACAGAGAAGAATTTGAGGAAGCTCACAGCAGATGAGGGTGAGTCCAAGACTGATGGCAGGAGCACTTTGAGCCAAGCGCTGTGGCCACTGAGCAAACTGAGAAATGTTCTGGATGTTGAAAACTAGCAAAGACGCCATAGCGGGTGGCATGTTCTTCAGAGGAGACATTGAGTGACAACCTGGAAGCAAGAAAGAATATCCAGTCGATGCCTTGCACATGAACCAGGGGGCTCAGGATAAGGGACAGTTTCAGTAGACTTCTTATAAGGGAAGTGGCATCACCAACCAATGTGATAGAGAACCCAGGAAGTAAGAAGAGATGATGTTTCTAGCAAAGGAGAGACTAGATCTCAGCAAGGGTGAGCTGGAATCGGGTAGAAGTGAGAGCAGAAAGGCAATGTGATGTAGTAGCTGTGAATAATACTCCTGCTGCACATATGTCTAAGACTTCACAGTTTGCAACCTGTTTTCCCATATATTATCTAGCACTTAAAGCAATCCTATGTGATTAATGTCACTGCTTGCTGCCTTTGAAGTGGTTTGCAGCACTTGGAATGAAATGCTGCCCAGTCCTGCTCCATCCCTGATCGGTTGTGGATCAGACCATTGCAATCCATGGGAGTAGATCAGCAGGCCTTCCTTCCTAGTCTGTCTTAGTCTGGAAGCTCCACTGAAACCTATTGAGCCTCATAGCCACACACCAGCCTCCACTGACAGATGATTAGCAGCTGCACTTGAGGCTCATTGACCCAGGAATTGAATTGGGTCTCTTACTCCATTCTTTAGCTGACACAGAGCGCCACGTAGTGTTATTTGTTCCGTATCCTCTAAGTTAGGACTTGAACAAAGCTCAGTGTTGTTCCCACTCTCCCAGGAGCAGGGAGCAGGGCTGGAAAGGGAGGTGGAGACCTATGGCAGTAGTAAGGAGTTGAGTGTTAAGCAGGCAGGATCTCAGACTCCCCCACAGCAGTGGCAAACCTTGGACCCGGCAGGGAGGTGGAGCCCATGGATCACAGCTGTGTTTGGTTTGGCCAGTGTAGGTTTTGAGGGGGGGGAGTTGTTTTTGGACTTTTGTCTTGTTTTATTTTAATTGAATCTGATGGGCCAGGGTAGGGTGTGTTCTCTTCAGTTTGCCACAGACCCCACTGTCCCTTATTAATTGCACCCGGCCTGAGCTCCTGTGGCATTGGCATTTGTAGCCCCTCATCTTCAGGACCGTGCTCCATTCCTAATCAAGGTTTCTGATGTTTTCCCAATGTATGCCTTCTGGAGCATAACATTGAGACTATCATCTTACATCCACTGACAGTAATATTCCCCTTTCCTAGGGTCCTGGTGTGGCACTGTAGAATACGCACTGGACTGCTAACTGAAAGGGTGGTGGGTCAAAGTCACAAGCGACTCCTCGGAAACACTTTAAAAGGTCGCTGTGAGTTGGAACCAAATCGACAGCACTTGACAATAACAAGCTATCCCATCACCACCAACTGATTAGAAGAATGTAAAAATAAATTAAAACCTGTGAAAGCCAGAATAGTGTAAGACCATCACCTGTCAGAGAAGGAAAACTCAAACATTTCCCACTAAAACAAACGATAAAAAAGTACTAAGACTGCACCCTGTCAAAGGTAGAACATTGTGAGACCCTAAAAAACAAAGTGGTCCTGTCAGGTTCTGGCTGTCAGGATTATCTGTATATTTGTGTATTATATGGGTGATAGAATTTAAATAAAATGGGTTTTGGGGTTTTTTTTTTGCCCTAGAATTCTTCTGATAATCATTCTTTACAAATTTTGACTTCTCATTTTTAATTCATGTCTTATCCATTTAATCATTCCATCTAAAACTGATTCTGATATCATTTTGAAGCTACTTGAATTAATTTATTTGCTTCTAAGGAGCTCTGGTAGTGTAGTGGTTACGAATCGGGCTGTGAACCTTAAGGTCAGCAGTTCGAAACTACCAGCTGCTCCACAGGAGAAAGATGAGGCTTTCTGCTCCCGTAAAGATTTACAGCCTTGGAAACCCCTGTTCAGGGTCACTATGGGTTGGAATCGACTCAATGGCACTTAACAACAACAAGTAGCTCAGTACTTTCCATTCTGTTTTTCTTTTTTTTCCTTTTTTTAAGATGAATAAAAATCAAAATAAGAAAGCAGGAAACATAAGTAAACTTTCGAATCATAGTACTTGCTAGCTTCAGTGAGTTTGTTTTGCTATTCTGTAATAGAATGCATAAAAATGATTAAATCTGATGTCATCAATGAGCCAATTCTCACTCATAGTAACCCTATAGGACAGAGTAGAATTTCCCCATAGAATTTTCAAGGCTATTATCTTTATGAAGGAGCTCTGGTAGCGTAGTGATTACGAATTGGGCTGCTAACCTCAAGGTCGGCAGTTGGAAACTACCAGCTGTTCCGCGGGAGAAAGATGAGGCTTTCTGCTCCTGTAAAGATTTGCAGCCTCGGAAACCCTGTGCAGGGTCACTATGTACTTAACAACAACTCCACAGTACTTAACAACAACATTATCTTTATGGAAACAGATTGCGGCGTCTTTCTTCCACAGAGCAACTGGTAGATTCGAACTGCCAAACTTTTTTTGTTGTTATTAGCAACCAAGCGCTTAACTCCTACACTACCAGGGATCCATCTTCTAACTCATTGTTAAGCGCCGTAGAGTCAGTTCTGACTCATAGCGACCCTGTGTAGGGTTTCCACGTCTGTAAATCTTTGCAGGAGCAGAAAGCCTCATATTTCACCTGATGTGTCATGTATCGAGAAAGCTTTTTAGCAGTGACAAGAGACTCTTGGGTTCTTTCTGCTTATAGAGGAAAGCAGAGGAACTTCCACACCCATTATCTCTTTGCTCTTCCCTCAGCCCGTAGATTTTGGATAATTTCCAGGAACCCTGCTGCATTTAATAAAGTCAGAGATTCTGGGCAGACCTCCAAATTTTGAGGTTTTGCTTAAGTTCCTTTTATTTGTTGGTTTGTTTCAACTTCTAAAAAAAAAAAAAAATCTAGCTTAGAGTTAGTTTAATTTATTTCAGTTACAGTAGGAAAATACAATGAATAATACTTGACACAAGTTGTTCATGATCCTGAGAGAGGTTATTTTTGGTAACAGGACTATCAGAATTTTGAAGGTCTTTGAATGAAGTCTGGGTAAATTCAGGCTTGCCAAATATTATTTAAACATAGTAGTGAAATATATTCCCTCTAATTCTTTTTTTTTTTTTTTTAAACCAAACTCACTTCTGTTGAGTCATCTCTGACTCATAGCGACCCTGTATAGGGTTTCTGAGGTTGTAAATGTTTAAGGGTGCTGACAACCTCATCTTTCTCCCTCAGAACAGCTGGTAGTTTTGAACCACCGACCTTGTAGTTAGCAGGCCAACAGCTACCCTGCTGTATCACCAGGACTCTTTATTCTAACGTTTGTTGTTGTTGTTAAGCGCCTTTGAGTCGATCCTGACCCATAGCAGCGACCCTTATAGGGTTTCCGAGGAGCGGCTGGTGAGCTTGAACCACTGACCTTGTAGTTCAAATGGCTTTGCAGTCTGGCGCATTAACCCACAGGGCCACACGTTACGAAATTTTTAATACACAGGGTAACATGCATATATATAACTACATAAAAACTGGAGATTTGCTTTATGTACTTTTATAAAGAAACATGTTCATCTGTAGATGGGCAGTACAGGCTGCTATGTGCCAACTTTCAGTTTTTTTGTAGAAAGTGACTCTGTACCATCAATATATAGCAGCTTGGCTTTTATCAACCTGTGTTGTATATAATTTTATAACAAGAATTTGGTTTCAAAGCAAAAATGTTATCTGTTATATAGTGTTGTTGTTAAGTGCCATAGAGTCCATTCCAATTTATGGAGACCCTATGTAGGGTTTCTGAGGAGCAGCTGATGGGTTTGACTACCAACTTTGTGGTTAATAATCCACTGATTACAGCACCACATTTTAAATGCGACTGTCAAGTATTTGGAACTAAGATGATTACTAGGCAATTTGTATAGTGACTATTAGGGATTCCCCACCCCCACCCTACTAAAATGTTGTTATTAAGTGCCTTCCAAGTTTCCAAGGCTTTAAATCTTTGCCTCATCTTTCTTCCATCAAGTGGCTGGTAGAGTCAAACTGATGACTTTGTAGTTTGCAATCCAGTACTTCTTACATAGCAAAAGTCTCAACAATTAAACTCATGAAGAAAAGATTAATTAACAGAATATCACATGTTAATTTGCAAGATAATTCATATCTTTATAGAGGACCGCCACTACCACCTTAGGGGTGATTCTGAGTCATGGCAACCCATGTGTGTCGATTAGAGCTGTGTTCCCAAAGGGTTTTCAAGAACTCGTTTTTTGGAAGTACTTACTTCCAAAGTACCTCTGGGTATTCCAGACAATAACAGGGTCTATTTGGAAATAGTGATCATTTCTGACTTCCACTGTTACATGTAATACTCAAAATGGTAGTCATTGTAAAGTGCTTGGTAACCTACAATGAGAAATGAGCATATATGACCTGTAATTAAAAGGAGAAAGAGCAGTTTTAAACCCAGAATGTTAATATCACAAGTTGACCCTGGGTGGTGAAAATGTTAATTGCTGAAAGGTTGGTGGCTGGAATCCATTCAGATGCACCTCAGAAGATAAATCTGGTCATCTACTTATAAAAGATCACAGCCCTGAATACCCTATGCAGTGCAGGTCTACTCTGCATGCAGGGCGTTGCCATGAGTCAGAACCAATTCAAAAGCAACTAGCAACAACTCCTAAAAATAAAGTTTTAGGTAATATTGTTTCTCAGTCTTAAAGGGTAAACATAAGTATTGCTTGTAGTGAACAAAAAACATATAAAGAGGGTTTTTGTTGTTGTTGGTGGTGGTGGTTTTTTTGTAGGAGATACCCTGAGCCTGGGAGTCCTAGTGTGGCGCTGTGGGTTAATGCGCCAGACTACAAAGCTATTTGAACTGCAAGGTCGGTGGTTGAAGCTCACCAGCTGCTCCTTGGAAACCCTATACAGGGTCGCTATGGGTCTGAATCGATTCGACGGCACTTAACAACAACATCCCTGAGCCTGCACTTGGCCCTACACCTCCCACAACATAAGGCATACTCTTTCCTCACTAGCTGAGCTTTCAATGTATCTTGGGAAAGAGGGTTTGTCTTAGCGGGTCACGAGAAGTACTTGATATGCTTGTTGTTGTTCGGTTCCAACCCATACTGACCCTGTCTAGGGTTTCCAAGCAGCTGGTGAGCTTGAACTGCCAACCTTGCTGTTCAAACAGCTTTGCAGTCTGGTGCATTAGCCCGCAGTGCCACATCAGGACTCCAAGTCCTGAATTCTCAAATACCCTTTTTTGTTAAAGTGGCACTTTAACATTATAAATATAAAGGCTAGCCACTACATAAAAGGTAAGAGGGAAACATAATCCTTACTGTTCTATGTTATCAAAGAGAAGCAAGAACATGGTTTATTCTCTTTGAAAGTTTTCAGTTTTGCCGTACTGGCAGAACCTCTCTTGGTGTTAACCCCATCACATACTGGAGCCAGTCCATAGACCACCATGAGTGTATTCTAGGATGCGGTCATATGACAGTTACCCTGGTAGTCGTGTGACATGTTGCAAGGAGGATGAACAATGCTTTTATGTGTTGAACTTCCTACTTCTCTTAGTAGGAGTAGTTGTTAGGTGCTGCTGAATAGGTTCCAACTCATAGCAACCCTGTATAGGGTGTCTGAAAAGCAACTGATGAGTTTGAACCATTGACCTTGCAGTTAGCAGTCCAGTGTTTAGCCTATAGTACCACACCAGGACTCCCCTCCCATTATACAGGCGTTCCTTTGATATTTAAACTTAATTTTTTTTTTTTTTTGCTTTCTAATTCTAGCACCAGATTAGATTGTCTATGGTATGGCCTCTTCCATTTGTCAAGAAAACCACATGTTATTTTCCTAAGATATTAGCAGTTATTGCTGTTGCTAGCTGCTGTCCAGTCAGTTCTGACTCATAGCAACCCTCTATAGGGTTTCCAAGGCTGTGAATATTTATGAAAGCATAAAACCTCATCTTTCTCCCTAGGAGTAGCTGGTGGGTTTGAACTGCTGACCTTGTGATTAGCAAGCAGTCCAGTGTGTATCCTACAGTGCCCCCAGGACTCATAAAATATTTTGATGACAGGCTATAAGGCAATATAGTTTGGTGATTAACAGGCAGGCTTTGGAAAGAGATGGACCTACATGTATACCTCTTCGCTGCTTTTTATTTATTGTGTCTGTGGGCAAGTTACTCAACCTCCAGTCTTCTGTTTCCTCACCTGTAATATGATAATAATATAATGGTTATGTTCATAAGATTAATGTCAGGGTTAAGTGAGATAATATAGCCAATGTATAATGATATATACATGCTAAATTTTAGTTACTGTTATTATTTGGTATCTGTGTGTGTGTATATATGAGGGGGATTAAAAAAAATTGTGGGAAAATGGAATGAAAAGATAGTAGAATATGTACACATACACAGTAGATTATATGTCACCTCACACATTTATAAATGCAATTAACTGAGATTAAGTATCAGTATCAATCTGAAAGTGTGAGCCCAACCACCTGGCAATATTCTAGGTGATTTAATTGCTAAGATGCTAAAGCTGGTTCCCATCCTAAGGATTTATGTGTCTGTATCCCTTAAACGCAGTTCCAAAGGATGGCCTCAAAAGCCAGGCTGCATTTGAAGAAATGAGGACAAATTACATCAAGGAACTAAGGAAGATGGTAACTAAGTGTCCCAACAATTCTGGGCAGAGCTGGCAGAGGTTCTACCAACTGACCAAGCTTCTGGATTCCATGCATGACGTAAGTATAGCCCCTTGGTGCCAGTTTAAAGGAAGGATAAGCAACCACTCACTGGTGACCAAACAAGATAAGGAGCTCCCAGGGCAGGGGGAAAATTGGGAGAAATTATCCTTGCAGGGAGGCAGCAAGAGTTAAAAATTGACCAATAAGGAAATTTTGCTCAGATAATGTGTGAAGAAGAGAACAAACTTCATTTAGAACAAAAGATTTGGTTCTTCCTCTTTCAAGCAGGATTCTAGAACTCTACTGCAGAGAGAAGCCATTCCCCAGCCAGGACCTTCACGTTGGCTACAGGTGTCCGACCAGGTTTCAAATTTTTGCTTGCAATTTAGGAAGTGTTTGGTTAATAAAAATGTTTGTTTTCACATTGCATAAGTACTGTTCATCTTCTCTAACTGTTAATGTAATAACCCAATCTTTCAAAAACATTGTTAATGGTGTAGGGCCAGCTCAAATCATCTCAGTCTTTGCCAAATTCTGAATCCTGTATTCATTATTTTTCATAGGAGCCTCCTTTTCTGTCTTGTGTAAATATGGAAAAATGATCTTTTTGCTTGTTTCTAATTTAATCAGCTTTAGGTACAACTGTAGTCTTTGATGTTTGTGAGGTTTCCGTACTTTCTCTTATAAAATTTGCTTTTCAAGTCCAGCCTAGATGATTTGTGTTAAGAATTGCTTTTTTCAAATATTTCTGTGTTGTTAAAGTGAAATGTTCATAAACTTGATGGCCAATATTACTAACAGTATTACTAGTGAAATATGGTGGTCTGTTCTTTAGAAGTTTGTGTATGCCAGAGGAATGGTCTCTCTGTGTGGTGCTAATGGACAAGGTTAATTGATAAAGGACTCTCACTTTTCAGGGTGTTACACTGAAGACCCTGTACATGATACTTTGACCTTCGCTTTCTCTGAATTCTTGATGTAAGAGTCAAAATATAGCAAGGTCGATTTCGTAATAGATAGTTTTGCTGAAAATCAGTGCTTAAGAGTTAAATGGGAAGTCTGAGAGATAAGAGATGATGACAAAAAGAAGAGTTTGGAGAAAACAATCAAGGACACTCCCTGATTCACGCTAAAGGAAATACAGGAAATGAGAGCAAAGGCTTCATGTCTTGTGTTGAAACCGCAAATTATCTGCAGGAGAATGCATAGCTGATGTATTTTCTTCTGTTTATTTTGTTGAAACCTTCCTTAGTAGGACTCAAAAAGTAGTTTTGTGGTTCTTAGGTGAACCTCTCTTTTTGTTCAAATGTATACACAGGCACAAGTGTAGTAGCAGAATTAGTGAGTACTTGTGATTTAAAAGTATATGGTGATATATTTTGTGATACATTTCAAAGGGATAAGGCAGATAATGAGGCCAACAGCAGGATTTAAAATTTGCTTTTCCAGAAATGTGCCTTTTCAGAATCTATGTGCCCACTGGAAACATGGAGGGGGTGGGTTTCTGACGAGTGGCTGGTGGCTTTAAACCACAGACCTTGTGGTTAGCAGTCCAGTACTTATCCTGTAGTACCACAAAAGGACTCTTTTCAAATATTCTTGAGTTTTTGTTGTTGTTTTTTCTGTGATGAGGTTAAATGATTTGAAAACATTTTGATGTTTTCAAGTTTGGAGTTTGTTATTAAGTAGGTCTGAAGTAATTCTTGGTCTTGGATAAATTATTTTTCACTACCGAGGCAAGACCTTCCTGAGTTACGCAGTGCCCTGTAAATTAAAAATTGTTTCAGTCTGGATGAGGAAACAGGCACTATTCCCAGCCCTGCATAAGCCCCGTGTTCTGGTTCTTCCCATCCAGACCGCCTGTAGTGTCCTCACACTTGTGCTGATTGGTCGAAACTGCTGAGTCCTCTAGGGGAACCCTCTACAGTTCTCTGGGATTCATACACTTTTCTCCCCCTTTGCACTGTGTTTTGCAAAGTTTTTAAGAGTTACCTTCAAGTCAATTTCGACTCCTGGCGACGCATGTGTGTCAGAATGGAAGTTTGCTCCTTAGAGATGTCAATGGCTGATCTTTCTAAAGTAGATCTCCAACTCTTTCTCCCAAGATACTTCTGGATGGGTCTGAACCTATAGCAACTGAGCAGTCATTTCTAGCAGCTGGGACTCCCGGTGAACTTTGTTATTGTTGTTATTAACTGCCCTCACGTCATTTACGACTCATAGTGACCCTGTGCACATCAGAATGAAAGACTATCTGGTCCTATACCATCCTCATAATTGTGATGATTGAGCGGATAGCTACTCCTTCTTGTTAACTGATACTCCAATTTATCAAGCATAATGCCCTCCTATACGGCCTGCTCCTTCCTTATAATATGTCCAATGTATGAAAGACAAAGTCTCACCATCCTGGCTTCTAAAGAGCATTCTGTCTGTACTGCTTTCAACACACATTTCTTTGTTCTTTTGGTAGTCCATACTACTTTTTGACCTTCTTCTCCAACACCATAACTCAAATGCATCAGTTCTTGAAATGGTCTTCCTTATTCATTGTCCAACTTTCACATGCATATGAGGTTATTGAAAATGCCATGGCTTGGGTCAGGTGCACCTTAGTCCTCAAGTTGACATCTTTGCTATTGAACATTTTAAAGAGGTCTTGGGCAACAAACTTGCATAATACAATATGTTGATCATTTCTTGGCTGTTGCTTCTGTGAGGGTCAGTAGTGGATCCAACCAAATGAAGTCTTCAACAATTTCATCCTTTTCTCCATTTATCGTGATACTATTTTTTGTTCCTGTTGTGAGGCTTTTTTTTTTTTCTTTGCATTAAATTTCACCCTGTACTGACAGCTGTGGTCTTTGATCTTCATTAGTATTTTAAGCCCTTTGCGTTTTCAGCAAGCAAGGAAGGTTATACCATAGACTTTCACAGGTTGTTATTGTGTCTTCCTTCAATTCTGATGCCATGCTTTTTCTTCAAATAGCCTAGCTTCTCAGATTATTTTGGATTTCTGGTGTAGCACTGGAGTGTCAGCACTGAACTGGGAACCACAAGATCAGCAGTTCAAATCCACCAGCTGTTCCCTGAAAACCCTGTTCAGGGTTGCTATGAGTTGGAACTGACTCTTCAGTGACTTGGATTATTTGCTCAGCATACAGATTGAATAAATCTGGTGAAAGAAAACAACTCTGGCACATACCTTTTCTGATTGTAAACCATTCAGTATCCCTTTGTTCTGTTCAAACAACTGCCTCTTAGTCTATGTACATGTTCCTCATGAGGACAATTTAAGTGTTCTGGAATACCCATTCTTCGCAGTCTTATCCATAGAGTGTCACAATCCTCACAGCTAAAAGCCTTTGCATAATAAATGAAGCACAAGTAAGCATCTTTCCTGGTATTCCCTGAATTCAGCCAAGATCCTTCTGCCATCAGCAATGATATCCCTAGTTCTGCATCCTCGTCTGAATCCAGCTTGAACCTCTGACAGTTTCCTATCAATGTACGGTTGCAGCTGTTTTTAAAATTATATTCAGAAAATGTTTATTTGCATGTGATATTAATGATATTGTTGGATGATTTCTGGATTCCACTGGATCACCTCTCTTTGGAATGGGCACAAATGTGAATCTCGTTCAATCAGTTGGCCAAGTAGCTGTCTTCCAAATTTCTTGGCATAGATGAGTGAATTGCCTCCAGTGTTGCATCCGTTTATTGAAAGATTTTAGTTTTTATTCCATCAATTCCCAGAGGCTTGTTCTTTCCTAGTGCCATCAGTGCATGTTGGAATTCTTGGCAGTATCACTGCCTCCTGATTGTATGCTGTCTCAAGAAATGGTTGAACATCAACTGTTTGATTTTGGTGAAGCGACTGTGTATTCTTTCCATTCTCTTTTGATATTTTCTGCATCATTTAATATTTAACCCATAGAACCCTTCAGTATTGAAAGTCGAGGCTTGCATTTTTTCTTCAGTTCTTTCAGCTTGAGAAACGCTGAGCATGTTCTTCCCAATTGGTTTTCTAAGTCAGATCTTTGCATATTTCATTATAATAGTTGACTTCGTCTTCTTGAGGTGTCCTTTGAAATTGTCTGTTCAACTCTTTTACCTCCACATTTCTTCCATTCACTTTAGTATCTCTATGCTGAAGAGCAAGTTTCAGACTCTTTTCTGACATCCATCTTGGTCTTTTACATCTGTCTTGTCTTTTTAATAACATTTTGCTTTCTTCCTGTAACATGTTCTTGGTGTCATTCCACAATTCTGGTTTTCAGTCATTAGTGTCTAATGTATCAAATCTGTTCTTGAGGTGGTCTCTAAATTCAGGTGGGATATGTTTAGGGTCATATTTTAGCCCTTTTGGTCTTGTTTTAATTCTCTTCAGCTTCATTCTGAACTTGCATATGAGCAATTCTTGGTCTGTTCCACAGTCTGCCCCGACCTTGTTTTGGCTGATGATAAGGAGCGTTTACATGGTCTCTTTCCAGTGATGTAGGCTGTTTGACTTCTTCGTATTCCATCATGTGTATAGTCATCTTTTATGCCATTTTAAAAAGGTATTTGCAATGAATAAAGTCCTTGGTCTTGCAAAGTTCTATCATGTGATCTCCTGCATCCTTTTTATCACCAAGATCATATTTCCCAACTGCTGATCCCCACCCTCTTTGTTTCTAATCTTTGCAGTCAATAATTTAATGTAATTATCAGTACATCTGAATTGTATGTTTGATCAATTTCAGATAGAAGACGTTGATCGAATTCTTTAATTTCATCATCACTGTATTTAGTGATTGGTTTATAAATTTGAATAATAATGGTATTACGTGGTTTTCCTCATAAGTTTATGGATATTAGCTTATTACAAACAGCATTATGCTTCAAGATAGATCTTGAAATGTTCTTTTTGATGATTAATGCAACACCATTCATCTTGAATTTGTCTTTCCCGTTGGAGTAAGTCATATGATCGTCAGATTTAAAATGGCCAAAACTGTTCAGCTCACTATTGCCTAAGATGTTGATCTTTATGCCTTCCATTTTATTTTGCCACC